CCATATATAAACTATATATACACATAATTCCTGGCGTGCTGCTGTAGGATCAGCACTGAATCACAAGGCAGTTCAAATCCACCAACTATTCCTGGGAAACCCTATACAAGGTCTCTATGAGTCGGAACAACTCGATGGCACTTAATAAATATAAATAAATATAATACACATAAATATGGAGTGCTGGTGTGGTGCTGTAGGATAAAGCACTGGACCACAACGTCGGCTTGAACCACAAGATCATCAGTTCAAATCAAACAGCCACTCCTCATAAACCTTATAGAGAGTCACTATAAATTGACAGAACTTAATAACAAATACATTTATATATATATATATACACACACACATATATGTGTGTATGGAATTATGGTGTGGAATTGGAGGACAATGCACTAAACTGCAAGGTCAGCGATTCAAACCCACCAACTGCTCTTCGGAAACCCTATACAGGGTTTCTATGAGTCAGCACCAACTCAACAGCATTTAATAACAATAACAACAAATATATAGGTGAGTCAAAAATTGTTCACACTTTGTAGAATTTATTTTAATAAACTTTTTGTAAAGACAAATTACATCATTTTTAACATAATCACCTTGCTTTTCAGTACACTTTGTACTGTCAACAAGCTTTCATATTCCTTTATTAAAAAATATTTTAAGCTGAGTTGCAAGCCACAAATGCACCACTGTCTTCACTGCTTCATCAAAGGTGAATCTTTGTCCTCGAAGGACTGCTTCAGGTGAAAGGCCGATGGAGCAATATCAGGACAATAGGGAGGATGCTTTAAGACTTTAAAAGGAAGTTTTTGCAGTGTCAACAATGTGGGCAGAGGTGCAGATGTGCATTGTTATGCAAGATCACAACACCCTTGGATAGCAATCCTCTGTGTTTAATCCAAGTTCAGCTCTTCAGTGAGCCATCTCACTGTAATGAGCACTGTTGATTGTTGAACCTGTTTCCTGTAGTGTTCCAATACTGGCCCTTGAGAATCTCATCAATTTTCTAGCTGATTGTTGACTTTTGAACTTTTTTTTGGTTGGTGACTGACAATGTTTCCATTCCATATTCGCAGGCTCATAGTGATGAATCCATGTCTTGCCACAAGTAATATATATATATAAAATATATATATATACACACGTACACACACATGTATGTATAATTCTTGACACACACTCACACACATATGTATCCCACTGTGCATCAGTTTTTAAGCTGGCATTACCAATTTTGTGGTGACTCTAGGATAAGCACTGGACTGCAAACCACAAAATCAGTGGTTCGGGTCCACCAGTTGTTCTTTAAGAGAAAGATGAGTTTTCTGCTCCCACAAAGATTTACAACCTCAGAAGCCCTATCAGGGTCACTATGAGTCAGACTTTAACAACAACAACAACGTATCATAAATGTTTTCCCAGTCAATTAAAATGATCTATGTCATCATTTTAAATGGCAGACAGGGTTCCATGGATTGACCATAATTTATCTAGCCAATACTTACTTACTCTACTGCATTTAAATTGCTTCTAACTTTTCATTATTATTTTAAAAATAATGACATGAATGTCTTGTACAAACTTTTGATATGGGTGTCTCTGATTATTTCTACAAGAGAAATTACAGACACTGAACTGTCCAAGAGGCCCATACTTTCCTTCTTAACCTTTATCTCTTCCAAATCCACAACCAAGGTTTATCTCTGCTGACCGCCCTTGTTTAAAGAGACGACGCTTCTCTCTCTGAGAGGCAGGTAGAAGCAAACAGACCTCCAGTGGACCACAGTCCTTGGATGATGGAGATGGTGAGATGGGAACATCAAGGGAACTCCAGGTTCTTCATGGCTTCTCTGCCTTCCGAGTATCTTATTTCTGTAGAATGAGGATAATGGGAAGGGGTTGTAGGTGGGGGTTGGGGCAGAAGCTGCTAATGCATCTTGCCAGCATCTTTGGTTTCTCCAATGTTCAGTCAGACTATTAGCAGTTCCCCAGGGATGACCTTACTCCTCACGTCATCCCCCATTTCCTATAAATGGAAAGTGGCTAGGGAGTAGGGTGTGTGTATATGTGTGTGTGTGTGTGTGTGAAGTGGGGGAAGGGAGAAAGGCATTAGGCGCTTTCCAACCAGTACTTCAAATCAGTTCATTCTGGTTCAAACCCCTGCCGAGAATTTACATTTCCAGCCCAGATATACTGAATCAGAATCTATACTTTACATTTTAACAACCTCTGTAACACCTGGTTGGAAGCCTTATTTTCAACAGCTGACTTAGTAGAAAACTGAGGCCCAGAGAAGTTGTCATTTGCCCAGAACCACACAGTATCGTTGGAAATAACAAAAAATAACCCAAACAAAACCCAATGCTGTCAAGTAGATTGTGACCCATAGCAATCCTACAGATTAGAGAAGTGTTCCTTAGCGTTTTCAAGGCTGTAATCATTATACAAACAGATGGTCACATCTTTCCCCCACAAAGTGGCTAGTAGGTTCAAACTGCTGACCTTCTGGTAAACAGTCACGCTCTTAACCACTGAGCCACCAAAGTTCCTCTTTGAGACTAACAGCTTATTATTAAACCACAATCTTCTGACTTTTTCTAAGGCTCTGAAGCCACTGGTCTGACTAGATAAGGGATTGCTCCCTCTGCCTTGTTTCGAGAACCCAGAGTTTTGGAAGCAGATGTGAGGTGGAGGGAGAACAGGCAGAGGGACCTAGGAATGAGGATGAGGGATTGTCTTGGTTTATTTATCTGAAAATGGTACCCATCTCTTGGGTTGTCCTGATAATTGAATGTTCAGTGCATGACAAGAATTTAGGACAGTGCTTGGCACAATCAGTAATGGCTGTCTAATTATCATTACTGTTATTACACAGGGCAAAGGAGTCCTGGTGTGGCACTGTGGGTTAATGCACTGTACTGCAAAGTTGGTTTGAACTGCAAAGTTGGTGGTTCAAGCTCACCAGCTGCTCCTCAGAAACCTTATACACTGTTGCTGTGAGTTGGAGTCGACTCAACGGTACTTAACAACAACGACACAAGGTGACATCATCAGAAAAGGCAGGTATATCTTCAGAGCAGTGAGCCCTAAGCACCCTGTGCTGGGCAGGGTTTGCAGAATACATCTACCGGCTTGGTAAGGAAGGCTCACTTACTTTGAAGAGGAGTGACTGGGTGCTTATTCAAGAAGCCAGGCTGGTGATGGGATCCAGGACCCTATCAGAGCCCTCTTTCCCACTTCAGAAGATCACCAGGCATAATAAATGCAGGTTCCTGACAAGAAGTCAAGGAATGGGGGTGGGAGTATCCTATTCTTCTGAGGTGGGACAATTCTCTCCTGCTTTCAGGGTTCTTTCATTAATTCTGGAAAATACCAACCACGTCAACTCTCCCCTGCCTCTGTAATTTTCCAGCTGATCTGAAATTCCCCAACTGCTGCACTCTTTCCGGGGCCAAAGGGGGCACCAGTTCAGGGACCCAGGATTCCACTCTAGTTTCTTTGTTGGCCACACATGAGTGTGCCAAAGATTTAGGACATCTACCAGGGCCCTGGTGGGTCACTTGTCAGAGGTGTGTGTGTGCTTCCAGGGGGGCAAAGCTGAGACCGGTTTCAAGTTAAACTTGCTCAATGACTCAAGTAGTTTCGATTTTTCTCTGCTCTGCTACACCCTCTCTCTTTCCCACTACTACCTGATCCATTGGAGTCCTAGTGTGGCATTGTGGGCTAATCATGTCAGACTGCAAAGCTGTTTGAACTACAAGGTTGGTGGTACAAGCTCACCAGCTGCTCCTTGGAAACCCTATACAGGGTCGCTATGGGTCAGCATTGACTCAGTGGTAATTAACAACAACAACCTGATCCGTTGCTACCTTCTCTCTTTTCTAGTTCCGTTTCTTCTCTGCCTCCCTTTACATGCCTGGTGGAGGTGCCCTTTGAGATCAGACGGCTAAGTACCTCTTCTTAAAGAGCCCCAGAAAGGGAAAGGGACTTACCTCATAACACACAATCAGTTGACAACAGGACCAGCATTAGAATCCAGTGTCCCAATACCCAGTCCAGGGCTACAGCCAACCAAGTCCTCCCCTTCAGAGGTGGTGGTTGTTGTTATGTTCCTAGAGTTGGTTCCGCCTCAGAGCGACCCTGCATAGGGTTTTCGAGGCTGTAAATCTTTATGGGAGCAGAAAGCCTCATCTTTCTCCTGTGGAACCACTGATAGTTTCCAACTGCTGACCTTGACATTAGCAGCCTGATTCATAAATACTATGTTACCAGAGCTACTTCCCCTTCAAAGGTAACTTCCTGAAATTTGGTAGTAATCAAATAAATGACCCACATACATTGGATTTCTCTCCACCCCAATAAAATTCCATAGAGGAAAAAAGACAACTGAGGTTCTCCCCAACCTATTGCCTCCTATCTGCTATCAAAAGAAGGTAGCTGTTGGGATCTTGCTCAATAGCTTACACAAGAGGGCATTTTAGGGGCAACGTATTGGTGGCTTTCAGTTTCAGAAAGATGGATTGTGATAGCTATAAGGAAGTTCTTTTACCTTGGAGAAGAGCAAACAGTAGAAAGAGTAACTCCAAGCAATTGACACCTTTTCAAGGGGGCCTGCTTGGGTGGGTTGCAGCTCTGCCTGGAGACAGGAGGATGCTCAGAATTGCCCTTAAGGATCATGATCATAGACTGGCTCTAGGATAGGAGGTGCCCCGCAGAGCCGGGTAGCTTTTACCTAAATGTTTTGGTGGCAAGCGGCAGAGGGGGCGGTGCACTGCCCTAGGTAATGATAGGGCAGCTCGGGCACCACATGGGGGCTGCCCGTCGCGGTCGCGGCTACAAAGACAGTTCTGAGACCTCCAGCTTTCTTCCCTCGGGTACCAGCCCCACCCTTCCATACCCTTCCCAGTACCCCCCACCTCCGTCCCGCCTCGCCCCGCCCCCCCTCTGGCAGCACCAGCGCGCATGCTCTTTCCCCCCACGGAGTAACCTGGAGATTTAAAAGCCGCCGGCTGGCGCGCGTGGGGGGCGGGGGACCAGGGGGAGCTCGCACGCGCCGGCCCTGGGTGACAGCCGCACGCCTCGGCCAGGTAGGAGCGCGCCCCCTCCTCTACCGGGGGAGAGGGTCCAGGCACGGGGAAGGGAGGGACGGAGGGAGGGGTGCTGTGCGGCCGAGCTCCCGCGGTGTCGCGTGCTGGGCGCCGGGTAGGATGGGGCCGCGCCGTGGCCGTCCCGGGCACCGCGCGCTGAGCCCCGCGCGAATCCGAGAGGCGGGCGCTGGGCTGCGGGCGCTCGCGCGCTGTCTCAGGCCGGCCGCTGGGTCCTTGCTGAGCTCGGCTTTCTTCCGTGGAGGGCGGGCGGAGAGGCGCCCTGCAGTCCCAGGCGGGTGGGCGGGGAGCGGCCCCTCCCGGGAGCCCCGGGCCAGGCCGACTGGCCGCACGCTCCGGTAGCAGCCTCCCGCGTCAGAGTTTTCTTTGGAAAGTTGTATTTATTTTCTTCCCTTGTCTGGGCTTCACCGGAAAGGGGCAGGATGAGTCACCGCGGCGCTCACAGTCCCGGACTTGGGGGAGACGGAAAGGGGCCGGCGGCCGGGACGCCTCGGGGTCTTCTGGCGAGGCCGGCTTTCGGGGAAGAAGGTTATTAAGTAAGGGAAAGGGAACTGAGCCCCATCGGACGACGAGCCTAGGGCTAAGCTTTGGGCAGAGAGTTGAGACTGGAATGTGTATGTAAGTTAGTTACTATGCTCCATTCTCGGCCTCAGTTTTCCCTTTGGGAAGGGGAAAACGGGAGCTCGCAATTTGCTTTTCGTCTCCTGCGTCCTGGGGCACTTGTGGGGATGGTGAGAGTTTCCGACTGGAGCACACAGGTGTGATGTGGTGGTACCTGGACATTCGATTGCTTAGGGTTCTAGATATAGGCAGCAGCGTGACCTGGGGGAGAAGTCCCCCAAAGACCAACAGGGTTTCTCCTGTGTGACGTCAGCCCTTGCCAGTATCTCTCAGGCACTGGAGCCCTCACGTACTCTTGCCCTTGACCTCGGATCATTCCCTCCGCCCCCCCCCCCCCCCCACACACACACACTCTTGACCTCCCTATGCCCTCATTCCCTGCTTGTTCTTTTTCCGAGGGGCTAGAGTTAGGGGTGGGCAGGGTTTGGCATGGTGGGTACCTGATGAGGACTTGCCCTTCAGCTGTCACACAGACCTGATCCCAGTGGAGCGGCCACTAAGAATAGCCCAGCTGCTGTTTTGCAGCCGGGCATTGCCAGTGGACCAGGGCCCAGAGTGACCCTTGCTTGGGCTCCAAGAGGCTTTGCTCAGGGGAGAGGGTTAAGCTCTGGAGGCTTCTAGCTGCCTTTCCTGATTCAGTTAGTAGCTCTTCTTTCAGAGGCAGGATGCCTTGGAGTGGACTCACCTGCCCATTCCAGGGTCTTAGGGAACAGCCAGGGGAGAGGACCCATGGGGAAAGTTCCAGGAATCCTGAGGAAACCCACAGAGCAACTTCTCCCAGGGAGTATGTGGGACAAAATTTGAGGTCACAGGCCCTTTTGTTGGATCAGTCCCATCCCCTCATTCCTCTCTTATCTCCTCCCCCCAGGCCTGTCCTGGAGCCAGGGCTCTGTTTTTCTAAAAAGAGAGGGGGCTAAGAAAATGGAGCTTTAGTCAGCTGGATGAGTTGGAAGATAAAAATACAGCTGTGGATTACTGTACAGCTGTGGACACACAGGCCCCAATTTAGTGGGTGTGTGTGTGGGAAGTTTTCCTGTGTACTCTTGGAGCGTGTGGTGAGCTCCCCTTGCCCCTCCCGGCTCTCTGAGTAGTCCCAAGGGGAGAAGAGGAGGAAGAGCTAGACAGTGTTCCTTGTCTATGGCACTGAGCCCCTACCAGGCTGCTGGGTGGTGACAATGGCATGGAGGCCCCTCTCAAGCTCTTTTACTTGAGCCAGAGAGGCAGGGATGGTCTGAGGACTCCGGAAGTAAAATTAAGCTCTATCATCTGGACCATCAGAGCCTGGTAACAACATTATGGATAAAAGACTGTCAGAAAGTCAAGCTTTAAATCTTGGCCCCTTCACAGCTGTGGAATGCTCAGCAAGTTCCTTAATTTCTGTCTTTAGTAATTTCATGTATTGCAAAATGGGGGTGATAATATTAATAATTCCTATTTATAGCATTATTATTACGGTAAGAATTAAATCATACATATATAGAGAGCATTTAACCCTGTGCTTGATACATTTTACATGCTCAATAAATACTAGCTAGTATTAAAGGAGCTCTGGTAGTGTAGTGGTTACGAATTGGTCTGTGAAACACAAGGTCAGCAGTTTGAAACTACCAGCTGTTCCACGGGAGAAAGATAAGGCTTTCTGCTCCTGTAAAGATTAACAACCTCGGAAACCCTGTACAGGGTCGCTATGAGTCAGAACCGACTTCACGGCACATAACAACAACAACAGTATTAATTAGGAGTCCTGGTGTGGTGCTGTAGGATAAAGCACTGGATCACAAGGTCGGTTTGAACCACAAAGTTGGCAGTTCAGATCCACCAGTTGCTCCTCAGGAACTCTATACAGAGCCGCTTAGACAGCATTTAACAACAAGAAGTATAAACTGTATTACCTGTGAGTGGTGCAAAAAATGAATGTGCTCAGCTGCTAACCAAAAGGTTGATGGGTCAAGTCTTCCCAGTGGTGCCTTTGAAGAAAGACCTGTTGATTTCCTTTGGAAAAGCTAGCCATTGAAAACCGTATGGAGCACAGTTCTGCTGTGACACACATGGGGTTGTCATGAGCATGAATTAACTTGATGCTAACTAGTTTATTAGCACCTGTGAGCTTATGGGTAGCAACATCCAGTCTGGGACTCTATTCTTGGGCCCTGGGCTGGTGCTGTAGGGTCAGTAGTTCAAAGCCACCAACCACTCCTTGGAAACTGTATACAGGATGACCACGAGTTGGAACTGACTCAACAGTACTTAACAACAGCTCTTGGAAAAAAAAAAAAATTTATGGACTTTGTTTCTTTGAGAACAAGGTCTCCTGCCTGGACTTAGGGGAGTCAAATTGAGTAGTTGGAAGGAAGCTGCTGAGGTTTGAATCCCAGTTCTTATTTGCACAAGTTACTTAACTTCTCTGTGCTTCAGTTTCCTCCTCTGTAAAATGAGGACAATAGTACCTACCTCATAGTCCTGTGAGGATTAAGTGAGCTGATGTAGGTAAATCTTTAAGTGCAGCAGCTGCATGTAAAAGGAGCTTGATAAATGTCAGCTGCTGTTGTTTGGTGACAATGAAGGCAATCTTTGTGGTTTGCACTTAGAAGCTGGAGTTTATTAGCAAGGGAATTGGACCCTATAACTATATATAGATGACGAATGACACATTTTCTGTTGAACTTGTGGCTTGATACAAAGAACATACTAGAACTGGATGTTCTGGTCTTTCCCTTGTCAATACTGTATGATTGTTCTTAATCTTTCTCGTGTCAATACTGTATGATTATTGTTTTAGTTAATCCAGAATCTCCTGTCCTGCCTACCTGCCAAATGTGTTCTCTTTGCATTAGAAGAGAATATTGTGAAGGCAAGTTATTTAATCTCACTTCAATATACCCACTTGCAAAATGGAGGTGATAATAATAATTCAGACTTTGTAGCATTATTGTTACTTTAAGGATTAAATCATACATACAGAGCACTTAACCATGTGTCTGGTAGAATGTAAGTGCTCAATAAACTTCAGCTAATATTAATAGGAGAGTCCTGGTGTGGCACTGTGGGTTAATGCGCTAAACTGCTAACAGCAAAGTCAGCGGTTCAAACCCACCAGCCACTCACTCCTATGTAGGGGCGCTATGAGTCAGGACTGACTCGATGACACTTAACCACTACTACCACCATGAAGAGATGGAGGCAAATATATATCCTGAAAGTTTAAGCGCCTCCTATGCAGAAAGGTTTTTTGTTATTAGCTTTAGGGAATCTGGATGAGAGGGGAAGGGGGCTCTGAATTTAAGCTTTTGCTCTGTCCTTCCCTCCCTAATCCCTGGAATCTTTTGCAGTGCTTTCTGATGTCTAGAGAAAAACCCCACCAGGCTTTCTTTGAATAGTCGGTGGCCTGTTTGCTGGACAGTGAGAGTGAAAGCTGGACCAGTTGGTACCAGCCCCAGTGTCTCGAATGCCCATGCCACTTGACTCTCTGCAGTGGAGCTGGAGAGGAGCTTTGTCCAGTGTATTAAGTGTCCCCGGTTGGGGCAGGGACTGGTGACAGAGCCATCACGGGATGGTCCTGATCCCTGGCCAGAACTTCCTGTTTAATCCTTTTTTCTACTTTGTGGTCTATGTTTGCTCCTCCATAGGAAAAAGTCTTTTGTTTTGCCATAGACCCTGAATGACTTGTGGGGCTTTTTGCTTCGGATGGAGAAAATAGACCTGCCTCACCCACTGGTTTTGGTTTCTTTGTCTGTAAAATAGAGGAGATAGTGTTCACCTCGCATGGCTGTGATGAAGCTGCTATGTGATAGATAATGCATATTTAGCAAAATGCTTGCATGGACCAGGTGCTCAATACAGGTTCTCCTCCTCTTTTTTTAATGATCACTTTTGGGGGGGGTGGGCAGGAAGGGGATAGGGAACCAATCTCTGGTCCCACAGCCCCTCAGTCACCAAATTCAGGCCTGATGGAATGAATGCCCAGCCAAATAGAATCCTTTCAGGAGCAGCCAGCCTGCTGTTGTAGTACCTCTGTTCCTAATGTTCAGTGTCATATCCCTCCTTACTTCTTATCTCCTGCGTACTTTGAGCCTGTAAATAGTGTCAATCCAAGAGCACCTGCCCCTTCCCTGAAAATGTGGCAATCTAGCTGCCACTCCAGGGCTCTGTCACTACAAAAAACTGAACACCTCAAGCATGGCCCTGCCTGAATCCCAGGCACTGTGACCAAAGCACATCTGGCAGGAATCCTGATTCAGCATCACCCGCAAGGCCATCTGTTGAACACCCACCCTAAGCAGGGCTGTGGTTCCTGCTTTGAAGGAGCTGATGGGGTGGTTTGTGGGAAGGCAGGACTTCAAGCCAGAGACTGTGAGGACCAG